CCCCAAAACCCCAAAACCCCAAAACCCCAAAACCCCAATAATTAAGCATTTTATTGAATAGATTATTAAGTATATAATCAAAGTTTAGCTATTCATTATAATCTTCACTAAAGAACTTTGATATCAGCTCTCAAGCATTGGGTCGCTTCTTTGGATTCTTAATAAACATCTCTTTGAGTAATCAATGAAACTTATTATGCTCTGGGAGAATAATATCTGACAGTAATGGTATACAGCCAGTATAAGATTCTCTATCTTTGATTATTTCATCCGGTGCCCATCTCACCCTTCCGATCCAGTTAGAGTTTCCGTAATTTTTGATGGGTTTCTTAGAAAGATAAGGATCCCACTTTTTGCTTTCATTCTCTGTTGCTACACATCCAGCATTCAAGATCATCCATTCCTCTATAGGTCCTAAAACCTTTTCTATCATTCAGAGATGTTCAATATCGTGGTGTGCTGGAAAGAAGAGTTCTCCTGTATAAAGCTCCACTAGTACTCATGCTACAGACCAAATGTCTGATTTATGATCCCAGTTACATCACCCAAGGATTACCTCAGGTGATCGGTACTGCCTTGTATTAATAATTCTTCCACCTTTTTCATCTGATTTAGTGGCTCCGCCGAAATCTATAAGTTTAACGTCAGGATTTTTCATCATTTGGTATTCTGCATAAAGGCTTTCATCGTAGAGATCTTCAGACTCGACCATTCCTTGGAATATGACCTTCTTGTTCTCTAATTGAGAAGGCATTTCATCCTTTGAGTGCACAGCCACAGTCTTATTGCATGTAAAAAGAATATTTTCAGGCTTGATATCAGTATGTGTGATGTGTATACTATGAAGAAAATCTAATGCTTTTAAGACCTTGTGCGCTATCTTCATAATTTGGTCTACTGGAAACCCCCTATAATTATTTTCTTTGATAACATCATAGAGGGATCTTCCAAGTGCCTCGAAGACAAGGCATTTGTACTTATCTGAGTCTTCTAGAGTAAAATCAAAATTTTCGACCACATTTACACAGTAGTTTTGTGGACTCTCCAGATAATGATTATATTGCAAAGCAAGGGTTTGGACTTCTTTGCATATTTCGTATTCAAAATTTGCTGATTCCAGGTACTTTTTACAAGGCCGGATTATCTAAATAGTTAGGACTAAATACTTACCTTAAGAGCGAAGAGTTCAGGACCGAACAAAGATTGTGCTAGGAACACCTTTCCAAACGTTCCTTCTCCAAGGTCCTTGATTATTCTGTAATTATGGATGATCATTCCGGGTTTAGCATGTAAATGTGGAGCTTCGCCGAGAGATGAATCCTGAGAATTTAATGTGTTTATCATAGACTGGCTGGATTCTTCATATGATAACTCAGATCATTCCTTCGAGATGGATAGCATATTTTCCTCCTCTGAAAACATCAAGTCTGCTTTGTTAATAGTCAGTCAAAGTTCTTGGGAGTTTTGAGTAATAGGATTGTATGAGCAGATAGCTGGATCTTTGTTGATACTTTCAAGAATCTCTTCAGATAAATATCTGCTTTCTTCAAATCAAGAACTCCTCTTATCAAGCTTTGGCTCTCTTTCTTCAAATTTTGAACCTATTTCCGTGGAAATTGGTTTATTATCTTGAGGCTCTTTATTATCTCAGTCAGGTTTCTTAATACTGTTCTCAATCTCCTCCTGTGAAAGCGAAGGAGATGGTATAGATGAAGGTACAGATATGCTATTTTCTGACTCGTTAAATTGTTGAGTACACTTTTCTAAACCTTCAAGAATAGACTTCTTATCTCAAATATCAGGAGCTTTTGGTGGGTCTGGCTTACTTTCTCTTTCCTTACTATGAGTACTTTCCTCTGCAATTGGAATATCTTTTATTAAGTCTTCCTTTTCCTTGATGACTGGAGGCTTCTTCACAAGGTTATTATTTTGTTTGATAGCAGGCTTGTCGTTTTCCTTTACTTCCTTCTGCACTTGTCCTTTCTCACTAACCTCCTTTTTCTTCATTTGAGTCAGTAAGCTTTTCTTACATGAGACAAGTTTGGACTGCTTCTTTTTATAATCATTTGGATACCTCTGTCGACTAGAAGGATCCCGTCTCTTATGCTTTCTCTTTCTTCTTTCTCTCCTCTTGTGTCTCTTCTCATTCTTATGATAATCAAACCTGTCTGAACGATCTCTGAAATTATTGAATTTCTTGAAGGTCTTCCGAGGATTATTATAGTCATTGGTTTTCTTCTTGTTTTTAGTGTCTTTATAATTGATCCTGCGCCAGTATGGCTCTTGGGCTTTCTTATCCAGTTTGCCTGAGAAACCTATAATGTACTGTATAAGTGAGAATTGGCTTATGAATTAATTTTGAGCCAATTCTTTAAGAATTTGAGAATTAAAATAGTCCTTATGATTCATTTTCAGAATTATCCAGTTAAGATTTGAATGAAGAAATTAATCTGTCTGAATAGCAGCCATATAAATTTTTGAAGCAGAAATTTTGATATTCTTGTTTACAGACCCATCCTTTTGCCCTAAAAAACGGACTTAGGACTATTTAAAGGTATGGGAATTTTAATAGTGGCTAAGAAAATTACCTTGTGAGTATGTCTTCCTGCTGTCATATCTAGGCTCTGTTTTAGCTGGGGTAACTCTTCTGGAGTTCTTAGCACGAGAACGACGTCGACTTCTTTTGTATGTATCTCTACTTGATTCTCTTTCGTGGGATCTTTTACGCCGTTTCTTGGAATGACTAGAACGTCCATAACTTTTTCGTTCTTCTTTTGTGCTATTGAAGTGCCTATAAGATGAAAATCTGAAAACTTGCCTGTAATATCTTCTGTTATTATAATAAGAGTCACTAGAACTACTACTTCTTCGTCTCTTTCGAGGAGAGTAATCCCAGTGATTACGTCTTTTGCTTTTAGAATGCCTCCATCGTTTGGAATCTGTTTCATATAACCTACTTAAATCGTGAGATCTGAAGTTCTTATGATACCCCTGAAGTGGCGTCTTTGTAGCAGCAGTACTGTATGGGCTTGGGCTTGACCTTTTATTTCTCATTCGTTTTGTATATCTTCTTGTGAAGTTTAATTTGTTGCTATCTGGATTAGTAAATGTCGTAATTCAAAACATGTCTTAATTAATAGACGTCACAAAACCTTGCTTCTAATAATTAGATTTTAGAGGGAATATTTGATTACGCATCACCTCTTTGAGAAACCCTCTAAGTCTAAATAAGTTTCAATTGATGATCCCTGAGTTGGGGTTTTGGGGTTTTGGGGTTTTGGGG